CAGCAGCCAGGCACGTCTTAGCCAATCAGACGCGCCTGCTGGTTGCCGGGCTGTCATACGCGAGGAGATTGGCTAAACAGTTTGACAGCCGAGTATAAAAGGCTGCACAACTCCGGAGGCTATCCGATCTACCACACACAACTCCAGAGGCTATCCGGTCTACTGTTAGTTACTGTTGCAATACGTTATTGTTACAATAAACGGTTACTGTTACCTCAGACGCCTCTGTTTCTTCATACAGCTGATCTAACACTATTTGTCTGAAATGGTATCAGGTCTCCTGCTTGAGCAGGGTACTGGACTAGAGGACCTCCAAGGTCCTTTCCAACTCTGATGATATTATCTGTTCTTTTTAAAATTCCAACCCAATTGAAAACGTTTTTCAGATTTATTCTTAGCCTATTATATATTATGGGAATCTGTTTGATAGGCTTGGTGACTTGTATGTGGAAATGTCAAATAAAAACACGTTTAAAAAAAGATAGAAAAATATGAGATCAGATTGTTAACATAAGACAAATAATGAAGAAAACAGAAGAATTAACAGAAGTTTACCTTTATTTATTGACCAAGACTTAATGTAATGCCAGAATATGAAATATATTACAGGTAATAGGCATTGGAGTGCCAATATGGTGTAGTTCTTAATGGAACAAGCTAGAAATGAATCCTTGTTCCTCTTTAGACATAAGGCCAGCTGGTAACCTTGGACTAGTCATTCTGTCTGAGCCCTAGGAAAATGTCAAGGCCAAACTGTTGACAAAAAACCTGCAAGGATTAAGTCAGGTAGTCAACATGAGTCACCACTTACTCAAAGGCATAAAAAATTTAAAGCTATGTGAGAACTTCTGATGATTCCTCTGAAGAAATTATGCAGTGATTAGGAACTTAGATCTACTTCAAGAAGAACTAAAGTGCCTGGGACAGATCTAGGACAACTTCCTGTAACCAGTTCTGCACAGCTAGTTCGTCACTGCCAAGTCGCCTCTGCCAACTCACTGCTGCCCAAGTTGCCACAGGACAATTCCACATGGCCAGCTCGGCATGGGGACAGTTCATTGTGGGTGGGTGGAAGGAGAACTGGGCAGGCGGGAAAGTGAGTGGGTGGGCAGAGTGCAGAATGGTGGTGGCCATTTTCATAACCCTTGCCATCATCACATTGATCTTCGGCCCGAAGAAATGGCAACAATGTAAGTGGTGGGTGGGGCGGGCACAGGGGTAGGTTCCAGTAGGCACTACTGCTGGTTTATTCATATGCACTCTTTGTGTGCATGTGCTGTGCGCGCATGCACACTGCAACTAAAATTGTTCTGCACATGCGCAGAACTGAAAAACAAGATGGCGGCGGACGGGGAACTGGTTCGTGGGCATGGCAAGCCGGGGTAGCTGTTAGTTCCAGTGACCCAGGCCGCCAAACCACTACCAGTTCAGCTAACTGGTCTGAACCCACCACTGGGTGGGCAGTAAGGAGTGGTGGTAGGGACATGCCATTTTTCACACACCCCATCATCACCAGTATGCCTGGCCTCTTCAGCCTGGACCTTGGTACAGCAGCAGCTGTGGCAGTGGCGGCAGCAGTATGTGTGTGTGTACGTGTGTGAGTGTGAAAATGGGAAGCCCATGGCTACCACTACTGCTCTGTGTTCTGCTTACTCACCTGTCCAGCTCTCACTCTGACTGCCCATGGTGAGTTGTCCCCATGGTGAGTTGGACATGTGGAGGTCCTCTATGGCAACTTGGCCGTGGTGAGTTGGTAGAAGCAACTTGATGGTGGCAAACTGGAGGTGGTGAGCTGACTGTGGCAATTTGTCCCATTCTGGCCTGGGGCAGGAGAGACAGTGTAGTTCAGAATAGGGAAGGTGGACAAGAATATTTTCTCTAAATTTGCATCACTTGGAAAACAAATGTATTTTAAAAATATCAGAATTTGAAGAACTGACATCCAGGATTAGAATTAGAATTTAAAACAGTATTTCAAATGGTCAAATGGTACAATTTTGTTAGAAGGAAATACTTAGAAAATAATTAAGAAAATTAAAATGTGAAGTGAAAAAATCTTGGCTAATATGAAATATTAAGAAATCAAAGTAACTTTGCTTGTATGAAGAACTAGGACATATTTGATAACATGAATATTTTTTGCACTTTATGAATCAATACATAAATTGCCCTTTATTACATATAGTGCACTTTTCAGTCTCCAAACTGCACAATCTTGTAAATAAGAAAATTTGTAGTTCAGGGTTGAAACGAGGGGTCATTGATGTTATCTGAGTTTGGATGTTTACTTGCAGATATTTCATTAGCCTTTTCTGTTGCAACTTTAAAAAATTCATTGGGTAATGGATTCCTTTCTATCTACTTATTGGTCTTTTTTCCTTAAGACCTGTTTCTAGTTGAGTTATTTCCTGAAATAGTTTATCTTTCATTGTGTAATCCCATTCCAGTGGTGGGCTGTAGGCGGTACACCTCGGTACAGATATACTGGTGCCCGCCCGGAGCACCGAGTACCGTTCCAGTACAGTGCTCCAGAGGGCCCACCCATCCACCCAAGCTCCTTACCTGTATTTGAGCTCTTCCGCGCTTCCGCGCACACACATGGAGCACATGGCACCTGCGCGATGCTCTGTCCAGCATCTGGAGTGTTGCGGAGGCTTGCGGAGGCGTCGCAAGAGGTAAGGGTGCATGCACACATTGCGTGCATTAATGTAGCGGACATCGGGCCCCGTTGCACCATACTGGTTTGCAGCGGGATCCGGAACCCACCACTGTCCCATTCATAATAGTATTTATGGAATTGATGGATTAGTATTATTATTCCCATCTTTCTTTAACTTTCTTTAACCTCTTTTGCCTCTACTAGATCTTGTCAAGGGTTATTCTTGTCTCCCATTATATGGAAAATGTCCTGATTTCTCTGATCTTTTTTTGAAGGAAAAAAAAACCTTTTGTGGTTTTTCTTGTTGTTTTTCTCTATTTGTTGACCACCATGGTTGATTTTCTTTCCTTATCCTTTCCTTTTTCACAATGGAAAACTATATTTAGTTATTGTACATTCTTATTGCCATATGCATCATGACCTGAATAATGTAATATATAGCCCACAAAGTACAGACTTTCAATCTTCATTGCAAATATAAAAACATTTAGTGACTCTTCACCCCTCTAATGTTACAAACATTTATTTTTCTATTCCCCATCCTTCCTATAAACAAATCCACAAAGTATTATGTTTTCAGTTCTGTGTTAACAGAAAGTCCATAAAAGCTTCCCAGAAATAACTAACATATCTTGTTCTAATCTTGATCAAAAATACTATGTATCATGTAATCATCTGATTTATCATCTGATTTAAAATTATCCATTCTGGATTACTTATATTCATTTATTTGTAGGATATTCAGTTTAGTATGCTTCATTTTCCTTCTGGTAAGTCGAAACTTTTTCCAAGGGTGATTTCATTATTACTATGGCAATAACAGGGTCACCTTGTTCTTGAAAATTAACAGGGATGGGACTTCCGGGGCGGGACCTTGCTGATGGCGGCAGCTTAACGAGCTGCCCCCGGGTTCCTGGCCGCGTTATCTGCCTAAATACCTGGTAGATGCCTCGCCCTTCAGGCAAAAAAGAGGGAGAGGGAAATCCAGCTGGTAAGAGCTTTTTTTTGAAGTTTGCAGCTTTTTTTTTTTTTTTTTTTT